CCCCCCCCCCCCCATGAAAGTCTCCTACTTAAAGAACCTGGCTGATGAAAAGTGACTTTGAATTTGTCTAGGTCAATATTTAATTCCTGGATCAATAAATCTTCAGATTGGCTGCAATTCCCAAGACGTCTTCAGACCATGCAGGCAAACTCACTGAGTTATTTCATGCTCAAAAGTAAGTCTCAGAGGTGTTAAGACGTTTGACTGGAAGATAGGAAATACACTTCAGTAAGATGAATATATTTATGGTGGTATCCAAAAATAGCTGGCTGGGGGCGGGTGATGTATCTTTATATTGATCTCTATTTATAACTATGATATATATGAGAGAGATTGAAAGAGAAGTGAAATAAACTAGGGAACTTAATGGGTTGACAAAAAAGAACAAGTAAGCATAAAACAAGTAGGTCTTGACTAGAGTCATTCAAACAATTGGATTACCTGTCTATTGACTCACCATTCAACAATTGGTTCTATGGGTCTACTCTAATTGGGACTAACAAAGAGGTAGCTTAAGATGTTTAAGTAGATTGCAGTAGAAATGGCAAATAATTAAGACATGTGGAAACCCTGTCTGCCAGAGGAGAAATTAATGTTATTTGCACTCTGATCTAGCCCTATCCCAGCTTCACCTGTAGAAATCAAGACTGACAGCAATGAAAGCCAGAGGTGGTCATCTATGTAGAGGTGTGCTTTCTGATGGAAGTTTGAATATACTTTTGATTCATGTTTATGGTTCCAGCTCCAGCTTAGCAACATACATGAGGACAATTGATAGACAGATGAGGGCACTGAAGTTGTTATAAAACTGGGTATCCACTGGGGTTTGGTTCCAGGACACACACACGGATACCAAACTCCGTGGATGCTCAAGTTCCATTATATAAATAGCAGAATAAAATGGTGTCCCTTATATAAAATAGCAAAAACAAGGTTTGCTTTTTGGAAATCATAAATTTTTAAAAATATTTTTAAGCCATGGATAGTCAAATCCGTGGATAAAGAATCTGTGGATATGGAGGACCAACTGTGTGTATGTCGCGTGCCTTCAAATGATTTCCAACTTAACGGTGATTCCTACATAACCCCCAGTTTAGGAGCTATGTAAGGAGTGTAAAAGTCCCCGCTCCCAAAAAACCCCACTTACTGGTATGCAGCCACTGGGATTGATGGGGGCCCATTCCTCTGTCAGTCAAGAAGCAGCTGCCTGATATTCTCATCCCTTTCATGTAAGCAATCTCTGGTGCAAGAGGGATTTGCGACAGGCACCACAGGAAAGGGATGGGAATGTCAGAATCATAGAGTTGTAAGAGACCACAAGGGCCATCCAGTCCAACCCATTTTGCCATTCAGGAACTCTCAATCAAAGTATAACCAACAGATGGCCTTCCAGCCTCTGTTTAAAAACCTCTAAAGAAAGAGACTCCACCACACATTGAGGGAGAGTATTCCACTCTCAAACAGCTCTCACTGTCAGGAAGTGCCTCCTAATGTTGAGCTGAAATTTCTTTTCCTGTAGCTTGCATCCATTGATCCGGGTCCTGTAGCAGAAAACAAGCTAGCTCCCTCCTCAATATGACACCCTTCAAATACTTAAACAGGGCTATCATATCACCTCTTAACCATCTCTTCCCCAGGCTAAACATACCCAGTCCCCTAAGTTGTTCTCATAGGGCATGGTTTCCGACCCTTCACCATTTTAGTTGCCCTCCTCTGGACATGCTTCAGCTTGTCAACATCCTTTTTGAATTGTGGTGCCCAAAATTGGACATAATCCAGGTGGGGCCTGACCAAAGCAGAATACAGTGGCACTATTACTTCCCTTGATCTAGACACTATACATCTATTGATGCAGCTTAAAATCGCGTTGGGCTTTTTAACTGCCGCATCACACTGTTGACTGTTATTCAATTTGTGGTCTACTAGGACTCCTAGATCCCTTTCACACGTAGTTTCCTTAAGCCAGATGTCCCCCATGCATTTCATTTTTGCACCCTAATGCAGTACTTTACATTTCTCTGTGTTGAAATTCATTTTGTTATCTTTGGCCCAGCTTTCTAATCTATTCAGGTCATTTTGAATTTTCATCCTGTCCTCTGGGGTATTAGCTAATCCTCCTAATTTTGTGTAATCTGCAAATTTGATAAGTAGGCCCCCTATTGTTTCCTCCAAGTCATTGCCATCAACAGGGGAATGGACCTCTGTAGATCCCACAGATGCGTACTGGTAAGTGGGGGTTTGGGAGGGTCCGGCCAGAATCCACTATACAGCATGCATAGTACATAATGGTGGCAAAGGATTTTGCCATTTATGTACTTGTTGAAATGTTTTTGGGATAAGTGAGTGGTTTGGGGAGATTGAAGAGATAAACCACTGTGTTTTGCAGTGTTTTTGACTGATTTTTAACAGGTGTAGCTAAAAAAAAAATCAGTATTTTTAATTTTCAGCATTTGTTTATTTGTTTGTTTGTTTGTTAGATATCCAGGGACTTGTGGGGGGGGGTGTTCAGGAGCTTCCCCTTTCCCACCCCTGCCACAGCCCTTTGAACAAACAGAGTGAATATGGATCCACCTTGAAATCCCATTTGAGATACCTCCATAAGCCATGCTGCTGCTAAGACTTTCTATACAGATTGATGCTGGAACGGGGGATACTTTCAGAGCAAAAAGTTGCATCCTGAATCACAATATATGTGTCTGCTAGAGTGTTTCCATGACCTCTTCAGCCTGAGCATGTTAGACTCTTGGGCTCTTGGGAAAAAAGTACAGCCAAGACAGATAATAAAAGAGGCCATTCTCCCACAGTTCACATGGAGTGGTCCTAAGATAATACTCTGTTTGGTTTACTACCATAAGGTGGTGTGAGGTGACCACCTCGGGCAGCAGATGTCACAAGCAAGACTGCCATGTGGAAAAAGAAGTCTGGATTCCTATACTTTTAACAGTTATGTGGAAGAGGGAATAACCTTCAACTGCTGAAATTCCCTTTTCAACACAACCATTAGACAGACAGACAGACAGACAGACGGATAGATGATAGATAGATAGACAGACAGACAGACAGGTTGGAGCCCTCTATTTTCACTTAATATAGCAGAAGGGAAGTTATGGCAGCTCCTGATTGTTCCTTGTGAACAATCTGGCTGGTGAAAGTAGTCAGCTTAGTTTTTATGCTGCGGAGGAAGTTATGCTGTTGCTACAGTTGAAGTAAGAATTGACTGCTAGCCCAGTCACCTTCTGCATATGGATTAGGGAGGGCACTGTTTTGCCCATTGCCTCAAGAAAAAAAAAACAGTCTTGGATATAGGCACAAAAGAGGTCTGCTTCAAGCAACGGGTGCTGGGAAGCTCTGACTGCTACTCGAAAGGTCTGATCTACACTTGTAGAAAATGCATACCCAGTTTGATTCTGTCTTTGTTGGAACACATGACATTTGGCCATTTTCAAGATGAAACTGCTCCTTTCAGACATTAATCGATTTTAAATAGCCCCCTTAATACTCCAGATATTAATTGAAAATCTAAGTTTTTAAGAGTTGTGTCCTAGTTTCAAAACTGAGTTTGGGATTGGAAATGATGGGTGGCGTGCTTGGTGGGTGAGGCCCATAGGTGTTCCCCTACTTTCCCCAGGTAGTCAGGTGTTCTTTTCCAACACCAAAAAGGGACCTCCCTTTATCCCCACCAGAAAATGTGGTCTCTTGAGTAAATTGCCCCCTCTCCACTCCGAGCAGCCCAGAAGGGAAGGCACCTGGGCAAAGTGGGGATGCAGCTATCATCCATTTGCTTACTTGTGAGTAAACCACCCCCTTCCTGCTCTGAGCAGTCCACAAGGGAAAGGTGCCTGGGCAAAGCATGATGGCATTGCTTGTGGCAGTCCTCCTCCTCCTACTTCAAGCAGCAAGAGAACTCGGACCACCAGTAGTCAGTTGCACAGTGCCTTTAGCTCCACTTAGGGCTTTATCACATGATGTTATGGCTGTCCTGCTGCTGCCTTGCATTCCATTCATTACTGTAGTGTGCCTTTTCATTGATGGGCAAAACTCGTCAATAGGCTCTCAGTCTTGCTGCTATTCCATTACTGCCTTTGTGCAATAGGTCCCTGCTGCTGCAGTTCCACTTCTCAGGCAGTCATGTGGCGTGAGTGGATGTGATTCTGCTCCTCTCCTCCATCCCCCTTGCAGTGATCACAGAAGCCAACACCTTCCTGAAGCCCAGCACTGTGCACATTCACACAGCAGCCAGCTTCAGGAGGCAGTTGAAAGCCACAAGTGCATGGGACTGCTGTGTGAATGTGCACATAGCAGCTCAGTGCTAAAGGAGGGGGCATTGGTGTGTCCAATACCTTCTTAAAGACGGCTGCTGTGTGCAAATTCACACATTTGCACAGCAGCCAGCTTTGGGAGGTGGTTGGCTGCTACAGCAACATGTCCTTCCTTTCCTCCTGGAAGGTGGCATTTGGCAGTGCAAAAAACAGATCTTGTGAATGTGGATCGCCAAAGCACTATTGTGGGTGAAAGTGTGATAAGAAATTATGCCAAACCTGGTATGCTTCCAATCTTAAAGTACCGCGATTCTGTCGGGACAGCAGGCTAATGTGATAAAATCTTTAGTTTGAGCAAACAGTGCTTGTAATTAAATGTACTATGCATTTTGAAAAGATGGTTGGGATTTTAATCTTTACCACTT